CTTTCCGGGGGTGTCAGCGGTCTCAGAATGCAGCTGGGGTTCCTGCCAGAGGCACATGCGGCCACAAAACCTTAAGAAAGCACCGGAAAGAGAAAAGGCTTTATGTAAGGTGACTGTTACGAGGCGCGTGTGCCCCGCTGTGCCAGCAGGCAGTGAGGAGAGGAGGGGTGGGTCGGGGAGGGGAGGGGAGGGATAAAAGGAGACGCACTCGCAGGGGCAGCTGGGCTGAGCAACTCCAGATTTCCCGGCTTTTGACAACAGTATCTGTTACACATCTTAGTGATGCTGCCTTTTGAAGTGTATTGTTTGGGTGACAGAGCTTGGGTGTATGTGTTTCTCTAGCCTGAATGCTAATGTTCCCTATGTATCTTTAATAGGTGTACTGGACTTTTAATGTTAATTCCTGCTGGGTATAGAGACAATGCTGATAGCCATAGGCCGTTTCGGTGAGGGCATTATGGGAAATCATAGACTAGAAGGAGAACAGCTTCCAGACCAGGCAAAGAGAGACTCCGGGGTCCCTGTCCAGCAGATGTGAGGGGGGGGGGGGGGGGATATGTCACGGCCCAAATGAGCAACATTTCAGCCATCCGTCACGTCTTTATTTTGGTGAAAAATGCAGTGGAAAGAAGAGCAGAGGTTATGGGAGGAGCAGATGGAGCAGAGGTTATGGGAGGAGCAGAGGGAGCAGAGGTTATGGGAGGGGCTGGAATCGGAGCAGAGAGCAGAGACACAGCTGGACTGGAGTGAGTGTCTCCAAGCAGCTGAGCCCCTCCCCCGAACCGACTGCAGGGCCACGTCTGCACCGCTCGCTGAAACAGGCCCTTGCAAGCACCTCGCCACTAGCGGGAGGCTAACTGGGGCTCGTTATGCTCTCGGCTGCATCTGTGACACGGTTTTTTTTTTTTTTTATACTGTAAGCCCAGCGCTGAGCACCTCAGTAGTGCAGGTAAGTCATCTTTCACTAGTGTGCCGGTGATTCTCACAACAGGAACATCTTAGCAACACACATTGAGAGCTCAAAATCCCAGGGCGGCGTTTTGCCCTGATGGTAAATGCAGCTTTTCTGAGAGACCTTAGCTTAATCCCCCCGCCTCCAAACTCCTTGCCCACCCCCATCCCCCCAAACTCTGGGATGGTTCGGCTGGAGATCACACAGGAACCATAAAACACACTTTGGCAAACTCGACACATTCGCCGGCCTGATCACACTGCTGAGGAATGCTGTGTGCGCGTTTCTTCTCTCTCCAGTGGCTGGCTGAGCGATTCCAGACACCCAGCTGCTGGGGAGCCCAAACAACCCCCCCCCCCTCCCCGCTTTGACATACCTCCCAAGCCCATATTCCAAGGCAGGGTGCACATTTCATTTCTTATAAAAGTATAGCTCCCTGAAATGCAGCATTCCTAACAGCTTCCCCCCCCCTCCCAGTTACACATCACAAACACACATGGAACTTAAACATTTCCCTGTCTTTGTGTTTTAACTGACTAAAATCTGCCCCCTCATTCAGCCGACAGACACACGGATTTTCGTAACGTGAGAATTCTGGAATTTCTGCTTCATTTCCTCCAGTTCACACACCCATTCCTGCCCTTTCAGTCAGACTCTCCTGCCTTCCTCTTATGGAGGGGTCAGCACCCCATCATCGAGGACACGTCATCAAACCCAGGCAGAACTCTATAATGTTCAGGTTTTTGTGGAATCAGCAGTTTGGTTCTGATCAAAGGTCATATCAGAGTTTCTGCTGAGACCCAGAGCAGAGACCCAGGCAGCCCAGAGATTTCCCCTTATCAGCTGATGAAATATGTCTGAATCCCAACTCTGCTTCGCGGCTGCTTCTCACTGCGCTTCTGCTCATGCTGTGGTGCCCTCTAGTGGCTCAGTGCAATGCTGCAAGATTTCTCACGTAAGTCACATACTGTGTTAGCCGCTCCGGCTGAGCTCCTCAATGTCCAAGCCAAACTTGCCAAATTAGCTGTCAATATAAGCACAACAGCCATTTCACAAATCTCAACAAATACATTCAGTATCAGGAGAGAGCAAGTGAAGTGGTCCAGATGCAGACAAAGATTGCCTCATCTTTAAATCAAGCATAGTTAGTATAAAAATACTATATGAACCTCTCAGACATAATCCTGATTGCTTGATCACCTGAGTAATTATTATTAAATAACTGATGAAATTCAGGCAAGATGTTTCTGTAAGTTGTGGCGTTATGAACATTTGTATCCAAACTGTTCTCAAGAGATTAAATTTACACAACGTCATAACATAATTGCAGGACACAATTATCAATATGTGTTAAAATTCCTTTAGAAGGAATATGTAAATTTGCCATGCATGTATGCTGAAGTAGACTTTTGGCTGTTGGTGTAGCTGTGGGTCCGTGAGATCGAGAGAGACAGCGCCCTCTAATGGACTGGAGTTCCCTGTCTTTTCTCCAGTTTTCTCCAGTCTGACTCCAATGCACCTCTTAAATGCAAAAGTGGCTTCTGAAAATGGTTCAAGGCAAAAACCACATCTATCCTTAGAAGCATATACTTCTTAGTTTTGGGCCAGCTGACTGGCTGAACGCCTGGAGAGGATGTGGAATGAGTTGAGGAACAGTTTTCTTGGCGCTTGTGTATGTAGATCAGTGGTCTGTGGGGAGAGAGCATGTAGGTGCTCCCAGCACCAACTCCATCACGCTCATCCCTGTGCATCCTATCTATTATTCATCTGTCATCTATTACTGTGGCTTCCTCTGCATACCAAATGACATTTTCCCATTTCTTGTCATCGCTTTGCCTCCCATCTCATACACCGACAGTCTGGACAGTAGTGAAATCTCAGTGGCTGGACTCGACCAGCCGCAAATTAATTCACAATGTTGTTCTGCCTTGTCTTTGCTATTAGTTCAAGATTAATACTTTTGTTAAATTTGGTATTTTGGTTTTCATAGTTTAGGCTCAGTGTTTCAGGTGTTAAATCTGCCTGAATTCTTTTCATTGCTCTGGATGTATGTGCAGCTGTTTCGTGCCACTTCCCCAGTGGCCTCTGGGGCTGTTCCCCATACCCCACTGCAGTGCTGCAGCACCCCCTGTGAGCAGGGTGAGTAAGTACAGGGAGAGGCAAAAGCAGACTTTCCCAAACCCACTTCTCTAGTACCATGCAGCCTGGGCCATAGGAACTGAAGTTATCTACATGTTCTGTGTGCAAGAAATGAAATATTTTCAAGAATTTTGTGCATAATTTGGAAATACAGCCCAATTGCAATCTGCAATGTAAGAAGGTTCTCTGTAAGAATGTCGGATTCATGCTGAAATTGTGTTTATAAAAATAACGAAAGCGGACCACCATCCTGATCCCCATTCTGCTCACGCATCCTTCTTCCATTACTGTGATGAAATTACCCCATTTTTCCAACATCATAACTTTTTCTACTGTTACTGAAATTAATGAAAAAACATAAATTTGTGAAGAATGCATGTTTACAAAATACACCATGAATTTGCTTTTATTAAAACTATCCATATTACAAATGTTACACTTGCCTTGTACAATTTGTGTTTTTAGTACCAAATCAGATTTTTTTTTATAGTGTTCTCAGTAAATAAAAATATATGCATCACTTTTTTGCCAGTCTGTTCAAAATTCCACAGCATCGTTTGACTGCCAATCAGCAGTATCATTACAGTGCAGAGAGGAAAACTGAATAACCAACAATAAGTGATTATAATGCCGCAAACTGCTTCATCATTGCATCAATCAATCGTCCATGAACTGTTTTATTTGGAATCCCTGTCTCTCAAAATTAATGTATTCTACAGTTTATAGTTACTGAAATATACACATAATTCTTCCCAGTATAATCCTGCCTTCATATCCGTATCACTGACGCATTACTGTGTCAGGTCCAGTGACTCTTCTGCTCCAGTAATAATACAGCTTTGCTGACGGCCACCTCCAGCAGAACCATCTACAGCAGTAGTATTCCAACTTTTTTTGACAGCCCCCCCCCCCA